TTTTAATGGTGATCCCGTGTGAGTGCAGTGAAAAGACATATTGTGGAATAAGAAGTTAGCACTGCTCAGAGTCTTAGTAATCGCCAGTCTCCAGGGTTGTTGATTTAGCACCTTTCAGTTGCCAAATAGACCTTTGCCCTCAAAGGACTCGGAGAATTTCTCCAAGTGGGCTAACAACAGGTCCTTTAGGCCAGAGAGAACTGAGGCACTGGTCTAGCAAGAGGCAGCCTGGGTGTTGCACTGTATCAAGGAGCAGCTCTAACATCACCTAAAATGCATGGTTTATACCCTGAGATGGAAAGTATTCAACATGTTACAAGTAGTTCTAATGTTTAAGAAGCCTGGTCTGAAGGAGGGCTAGGAAGGATCATGAGCTTTGGGTTGGAGGAGTACGCTCTATGACAGGGACTACCTTGTGAGGAGTTAAAAGAACTAAACAGATACACAGTTTGGCCAGATTGAGAGGACACATGTACACACATTTGAAGAGTGCACGCACTAAGGAGGGAGAAGAACTGCTTAGGGTTGTGCCAGGAGATGTCACTAGGAGTGGTGGCATGAAATTAAGAGAAGGAGATTTCAGGCTGGATATCAAACATTTGTCAACAGTGAGAACTATTAGACTGCAGAATAATCTCCCAAAGGAAATGACAGTTCTTCCATTTCAGGATACTTTTCAAAGTAGACTAAAAAAGAGCATTGGATAATCACTGGAAATCTTTAAATCAAGACTGGACGTTTTTCTAGAAGACATGCTTTAAATCAATCGCAGCTATCGGACTTGGAGCAGGAATTAAAACAAGTCCTGTGGCAGGTTATGCAGGAGGTTAAACTAGATGATCACAATGGTCCTTTTTGGCCATAAAAAAAAAAAAAAAAATCTATGAAGCTATCCACTAGGGAACAATCTCCAAGCGACTCAGGTTTTGGGAGTACATAGACTATACCTAATAGTTCCCTTCCGCTTCTCCCCCACAAACTTCTAATTTATGGGATTCTGAAATATAGATTGTATCACGTCTTTCAATTAATGAAATTTCAAGTAGGTTTTTCCCTTTAAGTTTCAGACCACGAATTTACTGTAGTAAATTCATTTTTATGCAGCACTGAGCAAAGAAACAAGATTGCCTCTGCCTGCAGCCAGCAAGTCGTGCCACCACTGGACAGAATCTGGAGGGAGACATTTTCCCATAGATATTCATGGAAAAACTTTTCATAACAATGCCACATTTAAAGATCATTATTGGTGGAGTTTGTGTGTGCAGTCTCCAGCTCGTATATAAAAATCTTACAGGCCTCCTTCACATTTCACAAGGTGTATGTGCAATAAAAAAAAAGTTTTCCTTGAAACACAGCCAAGCTCAGACAAAACAGATCTGGGAGGAAGCCAGGTTACAGGAAAGGACTTCCAATCCAACAAGTCCCCCAGCTCCAAACAGAAATCAATAAAGACACAGAAGGATAGTCCTACAACCACTAAAAGCTTTCATGTAACACTCATTAAGGACTTCCTTTGCTGAGAGAGTTTCTCTATTTTCTTATTTATTCCCCTCCCCCCACCCCCAAAGCATGGACTCAGGATATGGTCATAGTTTGAGCTTGTCAAATTGGAGAAGATTGGAACACTACAGTTGTTAATTGTTTAGATAAATAACCTGATTGTAAACCACCACCAGCAGTTAAAATGCCTTGCTGGTCAGCAGTGACAGTTCTAAATGGTCAGGAATTCCAGATGGTGAGGCAGCACTATTACCGAACAGAAGATGGAGGCATCCTTCGGAGCAAGTCAGAGTTCACCCCCATCAGGCCTTCACTCAGTTCAGGATTTACTGCAAAGTGGCACTTTCTAGCTTTTTCAATCCTCCATGGACTTCTTCCAACTCATGTCAAGGACCTCATCTCACTACTCCCCACCCATTGGCTTTTGTTCCCTTCACACCGTCTTCATGAGTGCCTTCCCTTCTGCAGAGTCTGCCATGTGGAATAGCCTACCTTACCTTTCTGCCTCTTGACTTTGACCTCGATCAAGTCAAACTCTGTGCATAGGCGCTGGAACTAGGGATGCTGCCGCACTCCCTGGCGTGAAGTGGTTTCCATTATATAACGGGTTTACAGTTTGGTTCAGTGGCTCTCTGCACCCCCACTATACAAATTGTTCCAGCACCCCTGACTCTGTGCCCATTTTCTCATCAGTAAAACAGGCATACCACCTCTTGTCTGACATGGAGGAGATATAAGGGTAAATTAATTTGCATAAGCACCTTTACCGTTATTGGGCACTGTCTGAGGCCGGTGAGATATCTTCAAATCTGAGTAGAAACATTTCTCCTCGAACTATGCTTTTTAATTTCTCCCTACCTTTGTTATTCATCTATGTAACTATTACTTCAATCCATACTGTATCCTGAATTTAAGTTGTATTTTAACCCATCTTTCACGTAAGCCAACCATAGATATTCATTCCCCCTAGAAAGCTAGGTGTATTGTATCTGCCTGTAATCATTCCTCTAAATTTCACTCGCCTGTCTGAATCCAAGAACAGAACAAAAAGGCACAGGAGATAGGAATGGAGCTAGAGGAAGGCAGGTGTGGTATGCACTCTCATGTGTGCCCCTATTCCTAATGATAAGCAGGACGTTTTTTTGGTTTGGCATGTTTGCCAACGTCCCTTCTAACTGAGCTTGACGAGTTCCTTTTTCTCCACAGATGCTTCAGTCTGGCAACACCAGCATTTCCCATCCAAACTGTATTCAGACAGTTCAAGAAAAGGTCCCAAATAAATAACCTGCAGACAAATAGGATTTTAAAATGTCAGCTAATCACTCAGTCAAAGTGAGGCAACAGGTCGAGACGCAAGAGAGCTTTTAGAAAAGCTACTACTCGGGGGGACTGGGAAGGCCAGTGCAGACGATATTACAATCAGAACCAGATAACACTGTGAAATTTGTTCATGTGCCATGAAACTTGAATTGCCAATGTGAAAATTTTAAATCAGCCTTTGCTATTTGCCAGATTTATTTTGGGAAACAGCTTTTTCTTCTCTTGGAAGAACTGAAAAGGGAAATAAGATTCTCTTTTGGCCAGGAAAGATGGCAATGCAACAAACAGACCCATCCCTTACAAGCTCACAGGTTTTCCTCCATACTGTGGAGATTAATGGAGTGCCTTTTTTGTCAAACTGTTTGGCATGAATACAAAGTGACACCATATGAACACATTCAAAAGAGTCGTATTAGTGACCCCCCCCTTCTCCGGGGGGAGAGGGAGGCTCTGGGTAGGGGAAAAAGGCTTGCCTTTTCAGGCTTCTCGTAGTACTCGTTGTACACTGGCAACACAAGCATTCAGGTAACACACATCCTGCTGGAGCGATAAGCCACGAGCCGTGGTACTCTGAATGGGACCAGAGCATGGGTAATGTCTGCTTTTAGAATGATTGTTTTATGGTTAGAAGCAAAAAGGGAAGAGGGAGTAAAGAGTAATGCCTAGCAGTGCTAGTTTCTGAGCCCTGCACAGTTGCAGTGGAGGACATCGTTTTATGATGACTGCTTAAGGCTTAGCCTGTGGCCCTTGCCATAAGATGTTTCAGATTTAAATACCGGCTGGTTGAGGATCATTTCATTATTATTTGGACAACTGGAAATGAACAGATCCTAGTTTGTGCAAATGTTTGTCCTCTCACCAAACCCAGAATTCCTCTTCCCCAAAGCTTCAGATACTGTGCACCTAATAAGAAAAGGAGTACTTGTGGCACCTTAGAGACTAACCAATTTATTTGAGCATGAGCTTTCGTGAGCTACAGCTCACTTCATCGGATGCATACCGTGGAAACTACAGCAGACTTTATATATACAGAGAGAATATGAAACAATAATGTGCACCTAATGTGACTCTGGGCCGTGCGTGGGACCTCAGAGAAGGAGTGAGATAGTGCAAGGGGAAGGAACACATGGGGAACAGAGATAAAAACAAAGTTGCTACCTGCATTGATACATTAAAAAAAAAACAGGGTCAATTTGCCCACGGAGCCGTTAACTTTGATGGAAATGCTCTTGGGGAATTTGAAATATGTAATCACTAAGAATTCAGTAAATTGCCAGTTAAACCAACATCAACATCTAGAGCAGCCTCAGCTCTTGTATAACCACTCAAAACCCTCCCAGACGGTTCAGCACCATAAAAATGTAACAATGCAACGTATAACAAATCAGAAACACACCTATCTGATGCCTCAGTCACACTCAAGTGCACACAGACATCATACCCATGGACAGACAACATCCACGGAAATAGTTTAATCTAGCAGCTAAGGCTGTGAGTTTGAGTGTAATTCTGAGGAACAGATGCATGCACTGCAGTTGTGTATTTGCTGAAATTCAAAATACCAGGTCACACTTTGGAGTCCAAGTATGATTGGGTTTTAAGATGTTTGGGTAGTGGTGCATGCAAGCAGAGGCTGCTGCAATGTAAAAGTTGGCTTAACTGGCAATTTCCTGGATTTTTTTGCAATTATATTGATAGGAAATGCACTTGGGCAATTTTACTCCAAACTAATTAAGTTTGCTTTAGAACAGAAATAGGATTCTCCATGGCTTTTTAGCATTAAAGCTCTCCCAAAGCAATCGTTATATACCAGCAATATAGTGACTGAACTGGCAAGCGTAGTAGTAGCCATTCTCCACTCAGAGATAGGTCATGCCACGGGAGACTTTCAAGCCTGTATTAGCGAAGGAAGGAATGTGAGCCAGGACTCCAAGGTCAGACACAGTTCATTTAAAGTATTCCAAGATATAACTAGGCACAATGAACAGCAGAGAAGTGCCAGGGGAGTGCAGATACGCAACATTCTAGCGACCATACCCATCTCAGCGTGGAGATGCTCTCAGATCGAGCTAAGGAATAGCAGCAATGACCCCAGAGATTAGGGACACTGCCACAAGCACCATGCAGCACTCAGCTCCCTCCCAAAGCACATACATGTATACACTGAATTCTGTACTGACCTGAGGTTTGGAAATCTATCTGGATGGGATTGGATAAGCCGTTCACTGCCTCTCGCCACATGCCACTGCCGCCTGGGGACCAGGCGGTCACCACGCAGCGATACAGACCAGCGTCAGACATCTGCGTTTGGTACATCCTATAGCGGAACTCGTTCTCCTGAACCTTCTCCAGGACCACACCATCCACTCGGGCCTGGTCTGTCCAGTCTTCCAGTCTTACCACCGAATCCTGGTTCAAGGAGATTATGCGAGTGGTTCCATTAGGGTTTGACTGATCAGTCAGTGGCTTTTCTGCTGTAATGAGAACAGAGTAACGCGGTGTCTTGATGTTTTGGGAAGACACTTTGCATATCATCTCAAAGGTGTGTCCTGCCATGAAGAATGGCTTCAGTTTCACAGCCTCCACTGTTAGTGTATAATCTGAAAGAGGGAAGGAAATCAGAAGCAATAAATAGCAGTCTGCATTTATGTAGCACCTTACAACCCAGCAGATTTTCAAAATGCTTCACGAACAAAGTAGACACAGTCCTAGAACACTTTGCCTATTGCTGGTGTAGTGTGCAGCTTGCTATTTATCAGCCTACACTGTTACATAAACAGCTTAGGATAGGACACGAAGAACATTATTCCTGACAGACACCGCAGAGAAACTGTGACAGGTGGAACTTAATTACTCAAGTCAGATGTGGCCAGAACATCAAGGATAGTACCCCTACATTTGAATAAATCCCTAAAGGGATCAGGGCCTCAGTTTTATGTTGCTATAGGAAGTGCCATTTCAGATCAAAGTGCTGGGGCATTGGTTCAGCACCAGTGATTCAAAATGAAAATTACAGCCTTTTGGATCAACACCAATTCCTGCAGCACTATGGGTTTGCCTTGAAGATCCATTCAAGTAGTGTCCTACCCTTGCAAGATCAGCTGGGATCAGAGAATAAGGAGGGTTGGTTACAAAAACAAAAAAGTCCCCCTCACACTTCTACATATAGGAAAAAAATCCAGGATAGATCTTCCTCCACCGCTGGACTTCTCACCTGTACTCTACTTATTTGTCTAAATCAGTCATAACTAATATTGGAATGTTAGAAGTTGCATATTTGACATAATTAACTACAATAAAAAAAGAGCAGAGGACTTGCCCTACATTTCCCTGCTCCTTCCCAATCTCTGGGAGCCTGAATCCTAAATATCCCTTATTGACAGGATTTTTAAAAGTTCTGCATGTAGGAGGGGAGCAGAGCCCCCAGACATGGAAAATTTGAGCTTAAGAGCAAAGAATCAAAAAAGTTATAGGCAAAAAACAAAAATAAAAACCAACAAAAACCAAAGACCAGAGGTAGATAAAGGTAGCGGAGTTGCAAACTTAAGTATATTGTTCACTACTGGGAAAGATCACACACTTGAGAAGGGTCCTACTTTTTGAGGCACTTAAGACACCAAATGCCATAATATCTATGTCCTGGTCTGCACACAGAAATTGCACTGGTTTCACTAAAGTCAATTTATAAAAGTCAGTTAAATAGTTGTACAGATGCATCAATTTACAACTCTCAGTTTAGCTTCCACCAGCACATTTTACAAACAAGGTGACATTTCCATGTTTAGATAAGAACTTTGCACTAGTTACATTTCATAGAACAAAAGAAGTTATATGAAGGCCTTGTGGCCAATCTATGAGACAAAGAGCAACTAGGGCTCCAATTCATATCCCTTCCATAAGGAATACAGGGTTCTCTTAACTTCCAACAGTGTCCTAGTTTGGCGGAAGTGGGTGGGAAAAGATGACCCCAATATCATCTTTCCAGCTCTCATTGCTGGGATTGATCCTCCATTTATCTCATGAGCTATGGCTCCTTCCAGTGGAGAGAGTACAACATACCCACCCACGCATTATAAGCTGAAAAAGCCTCTGGATTGGCATTGCCCATCCCCTCTAAACAAAGCAAGATAGATCCCTAAAGCATAACCCCCTGAGCCATTTGGGAGACCATATTAACCTGGTCTGCGTGAGCATGCTTTCTGTCTAACCTTTGCCTGCGCCACACAATGCCAGTATATTTAACCTGTCAGTCAACCCACACGAGTCAAGGTATCTATTGGTTATTATGGCAAGAAAACACAGAAGTGCAAACAGTAGACTGGAGTCAGCTCAGTGTTCAGTACTGATTTTGCGACAGTGAATTTTCTTCCAGTAATGAAAATGACTGCATATTAAACACAAACCCAGCCACGCTGTGCAAGGCAAAACTTTACAGGGCAACAGGGAAATAAGCTAGAGTAAGACTGCAACACATACCCCCCACATTGAAATAAATACTTCTGCCTTCCCCAGGAGAGCAACAAGATACTAGTCATGATTACATTTTGCAGTGTTTTGCCTTTAAGCAGCAGTTTGTCCAATGACTAAACAGTGCACGAAATGAGAAACTGGGTATGACAACTTTAAAATCAGCACTGTACAAAGTAGATCACTATGCAATGCTACATAAAGCATCAGCAGGAACAGAAAAGGAATATGGTATTAGCAGTGGTCTGGGTGAGCATGGAATTAGATATTGCATATAACAAAATTTGAGAATATTAGGATTGCAGTTAGGTGCTCAAAAGTCAGGAGATCCCAAAATTGTGGTTGCATGCACAACCAAGTCTCTGCCCCCTTGTGCACATTAAGCAGTAACAGTTTAACAAACAGTCAGAGGGAATATAATGAAATCCAATGGACAGTAATGTAGTTATTAAAATAGTTACCAGTGCAACTGGATTCTGAATGCCTCTAGTAGGCAGCAGTGGGCATGCCACAGTTTAAGTTGGAACCAAGTTTCCATTATAAGACCAATTTTGGCAGGTTAAGTCTGAAATGGGTAGAATTATTCTATCAAATTTAAGTAAATCAGACAAGGGGTTGATACATTAGGAGTTGAGGATGAATTAGAATCATTAACTATTTCATCACTCTGTAGCCAGAAAATAGAAAGAAGAGAAAACCTAGTTTGCTGGACTCGCCTAGTTGAGATCTAGTGACCAGGACCTGGTTAAACAACAAGTAATAATGGTAGATGGCATATCAACTCTGCTGTGATAGTGCTCAGCAGAAGTTCAACAGATCAAGCCTGAAAGCAGCAAGAGTCAGGCTAGGGGAAAGAGTAGGATAAGGGTTTGCCCACTTCCTGGCTCTCCTGCAAGTAAGAAGGCAAGCAAGATTGGGCATGGGGACTGTCCCTGAGGTAGGCTGTCCCCCAGGCTCTCCGTGCTTGCCCAGTCCCCTCCTATAAGGCAGTGATACTCACACTGTGGCTCACAAGACACAAGTGGCTCTTTAATGTGTCTCATGGCACACTTTGCAGCACATATTAAAACAATATGTGATTTAATTAATAACCAGTTTAAGTTATTAACCAATCAGGATGCTTTTACCACTGAGGTCTGAGCATCACTACTATAAGGTCTACTGAGGGGGCTTTGGGAGATCCGAGGAGGAAGGGGAAGCAGCACAGAAGGGGACTATCACCTCCCTGCTACCACCTGGGCCTCATGCAGGGAGCCTGAATGATCTCTTTCCTTGCCTCCCTTCCTGCTCCAGCCCTCACCTTGTCCTCCTGGTCCCAGTTCTGCTTCCCCCACCCTTCCACAGGGTCCAGAGAACAGAGAGGGGACAGCAGGGAAGAGGTTCTTCATTCCCTGGGACCACAATCTCTACCCTAAAAACCCTTACTGAGCCCATCCAATGAGCCTACTTAGGCTCCTCAACCATGATGTGCTTCCTGGGGATTGTCAGGTGAGGAGAACAACAGAGAAATGGAAGACAGCCCACCAACTCTGTGGAGGATTAGAAGGCACCATGGAGGATGAGGAAGAAGTTCTTCACATGACGTGCTCCAGAGAAACCAGACAACAGCAAGAGGCAAGGTAGGGGAAAGTTCTTCCACTGGATTCTGATCACCTTTGAGTCTCCTGCAAACTCCATACATCTCCCTTTCCTGCAGACCTTAGGACAGCCCCAGGCCTGTGGACCGTAGGAAGTTGACAGGACTGTGGCTCCCCTCCTAGGCTCTTTAGGAGAGGGGCCCCTGATCCTTAGGGCCTACAGGGGGTTCATAGAAATGGGACTCCTTTTGGCAGGCCACAGGCTTATAGCATCAGGACTCCTTTCCAAAGGATGGTGCATAAGGACTGTGGTTAGCAGATGATTTATGACCAGTTACTGATGGTTCCACATATGCTGGCAATGACCTCCTTTTAAGGACTGCTTGATCAGGGCTCCTCTCTTGTAAAGATTCTAGGAATTACAGAGACAGGGCTCCTGTCTAACGGAACTTGGGGCCTAGAAAATAGAAACTAGCATTCCAAATATCTTTTTACTGAAGATGAGGTGGCTGGTACATATCAGGATTTTGACTGACTGCATACATCAAGAACAGGCGTTACAAAACCACAGAGTCAAGGCTGTCCCAGTGGAGTTGCAACTATTCTGTATTTGCAGGTTAATTTAGTTACAGGGTTGGGAGTTTTTTGGCTTTCAAAACAGTTCATTTCCAGAAATTATGCATTCAACTGAATTTTTTCAGTTAAGAAGTCAGTTAAGAGTGCTGGTGACAACTCACAGCTTGATTTATGGACCAACTGTCCAACTCTTGCTCATGAACATCTTGCCTGGAAGGTTATTTTTAAGTAGTTTTCCATTGATAAATACAAGCACAATAAAGTCTGCGGTCCATGTATGTAATAAACAGAGGAATAGCACCTTCGTCTATTTCCATCTTGATGTATAGCTTTACCCAAGCATTTATGTACTCAAACCACATGCTCTGAAAATGGCTTTAATAATGTAAGGTATCTTTAGATACGTTATATAAAGTGTACCTAATTTAATTAAGTATATGCTATATGTCCCCATTTTAACTCCTAGCTCTTGAGAGAGGAACTGAGCACATTTTTGAATTTAAAATGACTCTTGTTCGCTATGTAGTGAAAAGCAGAATAGATAAACCTAGTAATTTCAATGTCTACAATGCAGAGCATTTTGAAATAAGCCAGTTCCTACTGCAGTATTACAGCTAACTTATTAGCACCTCCTGAGGACTGGTTACAGTAATGGAATGTTCTGTTCCTTTGAGGTTCTTTACCATAGTGGTTCATATGGTTCATTGCCATAGTACCTGAATGCCTCCACCCCTGCCCCTCAACCTCCCCAGTCGGAGTTTTGGCATTTGTTGGCCGAATGGGACAGAATTAAGATTGTGATGGATGTTTTAAGTGGCTGTGGTTAACTCTAGACTTATATTTTTAATTCTGAATTTCTTATTTGTTTAACACTAACATTCTTGAAAGTTTATACATATTTGAAATATTTTTGCCTTCCACCTTACCTATTGCGGGGGAGGGCGGGGCTTGGCCGGAAATTTTTGCTATTTTATATTTAC